TCAATAAATTTTTTGCTTATCTATTGACAAGTTTAAATGTGTTGATAGGAAAAAAAAAGTGTAGTTACATTTGATGTGAAATTCTACCTTGCTCTGAGTGTGAGGTTCTTTGTTACACTATTTGTATCCTAATTTAATAATACTTGTAGTTTGCATTAAATTTATGAAATGTTGGGATAAGTGGGAATAAAAAGCAGAGTATGACAATGTTGTCGCACAATATGAACTCAATTTTGTTATTGGGTGGTTTTGTATTTTCTTTCTTTATCATTTTATGAGGTACTTTTTTTAGTTATTTGTTTATTTAATTATGAATATCAATAAATGATGATTTGAGTTTGTGTTTTTATTGTTGTTTGCAAGATAAAGATTCGGAGTTTTGAACGTTGTTGTTGGCTTGAACGCTTTGATGCACAAGACTTAAATTTGCTCGGTGAAGAAATGCAAGGTTGTACATTAAATGTTTGTAAAATTAAATGGTTAAAATATGACAGTAAATGCAAGCTAACATGTTGCTTTTGGCTGTAATTTGACATAGTTGATGCACTCTAATTTGACATAGTTAATGTTAATTTGACAGATTTTAATTCTTCCATGAAAATAGCTCATTCTATCTTAGATTGTCATTTTTTCTATTGCTGTTTTGGACTGTTATGGTTTTTTACAGATTGGTAGATTGCTCACTCTTTCATTAACAAAGGGAAAAAATGAATACAAAAGGCAAAGATAGAATTAAAGATTATTCTGCCTATACAAGTGTATTTTTCTTTTCTTTCTATATAATTATATTTTTTTTTTTTCAGATCTGTTTGTTTCTTTGTTTATCTTTACTATTAGTAAGTGATGAATTCAATATAATCTTACTAGAATGTATTTCTCTTATATTATGTTTTGTTATTTTTCTCCAATGGCAATGCATTTTACTTCAATATTTATGTTCTTTCTTATGTTTATATAGAGAATGTGAAAGTTGCATTTTATTTAAGTAATTGAGTACTTCTTATGTCATATTCTTATGGTATGATGATGTTCTTAAATTGCAATCATATACAATTTTCTTACACTGATTTTATTTGATTTAGGTATTACATTGTCTCTTATTTTCGTCAGGTGGATGTCATACACCTCTTATATGATAGGTATTATACTTTTTTTTTGTCTTTTGACATTTTAATTTTATTTTACCAATTTCTTTGGAAAGTTATCAACAGTTTAATATTAATATGACTCGCACAAAATGTTCAAATATTATTTTCCCATGTTTACATTTTTCCAAACCTTTAATTTTTTAAGTTTACCCATCTTTGGTACTTTTTTGACAATTCACTTTAATTTTAACTTTTTTCTACCTTTTAAATAATAAAATAACTCCCACCTTATTTCTGAATATCGTTTTTACACATTTACATTTTTCAAACTATATATAACCTTAAACTAATTCAAGTTTTCAAACTTTCTAATTTTCCAAACTATATATACAACTTAAGTTGTATCATTTCTGACTACTTATATATTATTACTGTTTTATTTTGCATTCTTTTGTTACATCAATTTTTATATATTAAACAAATCCGTGCATCGCACGGGCTTGAAACTAGTATTCCTCAGTATAGCTCCATTCTATTACAAACTATTATGCATTGTTTTTAAGGCAGATAGCTTTTAGTCGCAGGTATTTCCAATGAAGACTTACACCAATATTGCAAATTAGGACATATATATTTGAAAATTACGAAAGGATAAATTACCAAAAGAAGCAAGAGATTAATCGTGGATCAAAGCACTATCCAAGAAAGAATACTTACACCAATATTGCAAATTATACACCAGCAATTAATTAATGAGCTCCCGTAATTTTCTATGCATCCATTTTCGCATATAAATAGTCTTAGATAAATTTGTTGATCCTAACTAATCCTCTCTCTTTAAGCAGCAACAAATTAAAAGGTGTATACAAGAAAATCTTACTCGATTAGTTGCACGTAGTAGTCTGAAGTATATATGAAAATGGTACGAATGAGAAAAGGGCTACTTTATTTCCTCAAGAAAAAGGAAATTATTCCGTCTAAAAATTCCTGATTTTCTTCGATTTCAACTATACAAATAAATAAGAAGACGCTCTTTCAAAACGGTCCCATAATAATTGTAAAACTTCGCTGCCATCCATCCACGGGGGCGGATAGGTAATAAATAATCCAACAGGTCCCCAGGGGCATTTCAGGCAATAACAACCGCATCCATCGCTCTGCAGCTCAACGTCTCCAGCAACTTCCACGGCCCCGCATGCTTCTCCGCGCCTCCTTCCTCTTCGTCGACGCGCGGTCCCCGCCGCCTCTGCCTGAATCTCCTTCAACCCCATCGCCGCCGGAACCCTGGCAGGTCGACCCAAAGCCAATATGCACGGATTCTTCAGCTTCCGGTGATCTCCGGTGATCCTACCGCCACGTGGAGGGTCGCCTAACGAGATCGAGCGGTGGATGTGGGTTTCTTTTCTCTTAGTTTTCGGGTGAGGATCATCCAGTGAAATTGACCGCCGGAGATCTGATCCGATTGAAAATACGGGATAACGCGCCTGGGGCTTCTTGGCTGAGGAGGCGGTGGGGCCACGAAAGGGGGAGCCTGCCGCCGACGATGACGTCATCGGCAGTGCACACTTCGTCCGACGAGGAGTGAGGAACTCGAACTGGTTAGCATGACGAATTTGGCCGTCGGATCGTCGATCGAGCGAGACGTCGTCGTTGGCGTCATTAGTCGTCGGCCTGCTTCGTGAAGAGCCATAGCTCGTTCGTCGAGCGTTTTTGTGTGTAGGAGGGGGGGGGGGGGTACCAAGGCAGAGAAGCCGCTCTGAATTTGTTTTCCTTTGTTTGTCGTTGAGTTCCGTTAACGGACGCGACAGAGCTATTTAAAGAGTGAAGATGGTGGGGTTCATAACCAATGACAAATCTGCCCCTTAGTTCTTAGCCGTGGTATTATTTCCTCAGCCGTAATCCTTTATGTTTGGGGGTAAAGTGGGGATTTAGTGTCACTCTATTTACTTTCGATCAGCTAATATCTAGATGTACGTATATCGTTACCTTCGGCTATGATGTAGATGTATTAATAATCTAGTTCTAATAATCAGTGGACATCCCATCAGAATTATCATCATAGAAGCCGGGTAATCTACATCATAAATAGAAGAATTGCAATCCCCAAGCTAGCCATGTAATCATCCGTGAATGATATAGATCACCCTTTTACACGTGGTGTTCTAATAGAATGTTTACTCATCAATAGCCAGGACGTGTCACGTCAACAATACATTTAACCGCGTGAAGAAATTACTCAAGTTGTAGTTCATATTTGGCTTTAATAACCATCTTAGTTTTGGAGGACAAACGTTAGATACGTCTCATGACTTTTAAAATATCAGGAAACTCCTCTTTAAGTTTAGTAGGAAAGCCCTTTAATTTTAAGATTTTATCGGAAAGCTCCTCTAAAAAGTGTGAACCACAGTTACTCTCCAGATTTTAGGATTGAGAAAAAAATCCCGGAAAACACTTGGAAACTTATGGAAATGTACTTCTTTAACGAAATAACCAAACATGCCCCTAGCCTTTTATCTTGATTCTAAAGTAACAGGAAAAACCTTTTTCATCAAGAGAGTGCATTATTAATTATATTAAAAACGGAGAACAAATTTTCAAAACAGCCCAAAAAAGATTTTTATTTTTCAAAATCGACCCGATTTTTTTTTTATTTATCACAATCGACCCACTTTTTGCCACGTGAGCTTAATGAAGTTCCTAAACAGTCGGGGTTGGCAACCCCAACTGTTTAGGAGGGTGTTAAACCCCAATTAGAACCTTTAAACCCGAAATTTTCATGTCCTAAACAGTCGGGGGTGGCAACCCTGACTGTTTAGGAACGTCATTAAGCCCACGTGGCAAAAAGTGGGTCGATTTTGATAAATAAAAAAAAAGGATCGATTTTAAAAAATAAAAAACTTTTTGGGGCTGTTTTGAAAAATTCCTCTAAAAATGGATCAGCGTCGTTTGTATACATACAATGCTTATCTAGCTAATTAGTTGGAGATTGCTGGTAGAAAAATAAAGTGGAAAGCTAAATATTAATTAGCATATTTGATTCTTTTTTTTTCTTTTTTGTGATAAGCGCGATTCTCTTTTTAGTTTAGTTAAAGGATGGATTGCGGTAGAAGAAAATAATTGGATTCTGTTTCCTACTGGTTCGAAGCTGCATGTAATGCAAATTGAGGTGAGATGCACCCACTGTTTTTTGGAAATTAACCACTCAAATGAAAAGGATTGCGGCTGGAACAAAGTTACCAGATAGGTTATTGTCACAAAAACAATATTAGTCGTAGCTTTAAAAGCTATATATGCCTTATATGTATGCCCCTTTTAAAATGCAGATAGAGGGAATCAAAGTGGCACAAGTTGTTGTTAGCTGATAACATAAAGTAAAGTAAATTCTGGTGTGCTCGTCTAGAAAAGGATTTTTATATAGAAAACTTCCTATTTTGATCGATAATAGACCCCAAAAATTCATTTTGAAATTGACGAAATCTGATAAATTAATCATACTCGAAAACAGCAGCCTCACTTTTGTGTGCAAATTAATGAGCCTTTATATTGTGGTAATATGTTGCCAATACTTTGGAAATCTTAGAAAGTATTCTTCGTGATCGTGAGTAAATCTGCAGCAACGTTTATATAGGCACTCCATACATGCGTAGGATTGGCAAAAAGTCCTTAGATGAGAAGTTTAATTCTCTATGGATTTTTTTTTTAAATTTATTCAGATAGACTGATGATGTTAGGATACTTTTATTCAGAAAATTTTATAAATGGCCTTTTCTCCGTTTGCGAAAACATTATAATCTTGGAAGAAGACCGGCGCCAGCACTTGTTCTCCAATTAGAGCCCGACCACATCACCAAAAGCCCAACAAGTGATGAAAGCCCGAAGAAGGCCGACCGCAGCCCAGAATGATTTCGGAATTGTTTCCGCGGTTTCGAGCGTGGGCCAAACCGATTCTGAAACTCCGCCATAAAAAAGAGATCGAAACCCATTTGGAAGGAGCCCTAGATTTTTGTTTGATTCTTCGCTCTCGTTCTCGTCGCATCGCGTTCCGATTGGTATTTCACAATGGCGGTAACTCTCTCTCTCTCTCTCTCTCTCTCTCTCTCCCTCCTCCCACATCTCTCATTAGTTCCAAAGCCTGAGGCTTTTCTTTGGTTATCGATGAGAAATTGTTGGAGAGAAACCCTAATAAATCTTTATGCATCTCCGTTTTATATGAGTTGGGTTTGATTCAGTGCGGAACCTTTGGGTAGAAATTATAGCTGTAATTGGAACCCACGAAAAGGCAGAGAGATATTTCTCTGGAATTTTGTTACCGGGAAGTCTTAAAAGTTTGCTTACGCATTATTTCGTAAGCTCTCAGCTTCTCACGGTGACTGATGCATGATTTGGTTATGATTCTTGTTGTTGGCTTTTGTGGATAGATGGGTCTTTGGGTTTGGTATATCATTAAATAGGTGCAAATTTTAGAGCTCAATCTTGGGAAACCAATTGAAAAGAGAGTTTTCAATCAAATTTGATGCAATCACATCTCTAATGCATCCTTCACGTTGTTTAGATGCAAAACGAAATTTGATTTCGTTATGTTGTTTAACCTCCATGCTATTGATTTTCAGTTGACCTCTAGCATTGCTTCTTCATCTCATAATTACATGTTAGAAATCAGCAGCTATGCCCACCTACTAAGCCACCATCCTAATACCGTCCACCCACCACCAAATAGTCTCCACCAACCCATTCACCAACTAGTGTAAGAACTCTATATAAGGGGCCAAAGATGAGTGTATGAAGTATCCCAAGCAAGATCCAACCCAAGTAGCAAAGAATCATCTTAGTAGCACAGAGAGAGAGAGAGAGATCCAACCCAAGTAACAAAGAATCATCCCAGTAGCGCGGAGAGAGAGAGAGGAGAGAGAGAGAATTTGTATTTTAAGAGTATAATGTGTTTGTTTCACTAAAGAAATAATAATAATAAAATTTCTTGGTGTCCACCACTCCTCTCAACTCAACAAGTGGTATCAGAGTCTGGTTTAGGGTGCATGTATATGCTTATCATATACTCTGTGGCTGCCACCAAAGGTGAATCCTCCACATCAGAAAATAAGTTAGCTTATTATTTACCCTTTGAAGGCACTAGCACTATTTACGAGAGTTATACTATTCATAAGTATGAGTACTATTCACGAATGCAGCTACTGTTCACAAGTATTGTTACTATTCACATGAAATAACCAAAGTTGCAGCTCGTGATAGAAACAAAGCAGCCAGGGATATGCTCTCTCCTATGGTGATCATATCAGCATTCTTGAAGGCCGAAGTTCGTGTTCAGTCTGGGACTGTGAAGTTAGTTGGTCAAGTACCAAACTTGCGTGAAGATATTGAAGCAGTATCGCGTCACGATGACGGATCTGACAAATACGACTACTACACTCAAGAAACTCAACAGTAATAACTATAACTACTATGAGACATGTATGAAATCCTATTTACTAGGATAAGATCTCTAGGAGGTCTTTTCTCAAAAAAAAGATCTCTAGGAGGTCTTTTCTCAAAAAAAAGATCTCTAGGAGGTCATCGGGGGTGCTGAAACTATAGCACCTCGGGAAGCTGATGAAACACTAAGAAAGTAGAACATCAAAGCCGGTAAGGCTATATATATGCTGAAGACGACGGTAGAAAAAGATTTCGTAGACTTTATGCGAGATGCTAGAACTCCGAAGGAGGCATAGGATGTGCTTGCAATACTCTTCTTTAAAAAGAACGATGCTCGACCTTAACTTCTGGAGAATCAATTTGATGACCTTGCAACAGAAAGAGATGACAATCAGTCGGTACTTCAAGCAAGTAAAATCACTTTGTTTAAATATTGCTCAACTAGATCCAGATTCTAAAGTATCCGATGCAAAAATGAGGAGAATAATCATCCACGGTTTGAGATCGGAATATCACGAACTCGTTGCTGCTACACACGGGTGGCCGACTTAACCAACATTATTAGAGTTGGAGAGTTTGCTCGCTACATAGGAAACCCTAGTCAAATAAATGACTAGCGTTTCAATAAAAAACGAAGATGAAACACTCTTCAGCAGCAATGAGAGAGGCAAGCTAAGAGGCACAATAAAACAGGAGTATGGAAAGGCCGGTTTAAGAGGCAGTCAGAACGGCCATAGACTAACAAAACACAACAACGTGAGGAGTAAGGTGATCATCCAACAAGAAGATGTAATAGTAGCTGCTACAACCGTGGAAAGAAAGAACACTTTGTCAGAGATTGTCGCTACAAGAGAATGCTTGCAGAGGGCAATGCTACAACATCGCGCAGATGTCAAGATGATGAAGAAGAATGGGATGCCCAAGCATCCGTCGCCATTATTAAAGATGTACCGGTCGACGAAGACAAGGTTGTTGGTATAGCACCAATCTCGTTTGTGAAAAGTTCTAAGTCCGCATTTGCACCGGTTTCAGATCGGGAGGAAATTAGTTATAATAAAGATTGGATCGTCGATTCTGGCTGTTCCAACCACATGACGGGAGATAAGGGGAAACTTGTCAACATGAAGGAAGGAGTATAAAGGTGGCCGAGAAGTTGTAATAGTAAATAATTCAAGATTACCTATCACACGCATCGAAAAGACTACGTTTATGTCACGCTACAACCCGAACCGGATACAACTACAAGATGTATATCATGTACCGGGTATGAAAAAGAACCTTTTTATCTGTTTTCCAATTAACATCTTCTGAAAACTATGTAGTATTTGGATCACAAGATATAAAAATCTATCGAAACTTGAAGCCACCTGGAGAACCTGTCATGGAGGAACAGAATGTAGAATCTGTCTATGTGATGTCGATGGAATCAACATACATTGATAAAACCAGAAAGAGTGACATGACTGATCTGTGACATGCTCGGCTTGGCCATGTGAACTATCACAAGCTCAAGATTATGATGAAAAAGTCAATATTGATAGGTCTACCACACTCGGAGATTCGAGGAGGGACCATATTCAGAGGTGGTTAGTATGGTAAGGCGCTAGGAGTAACAATTCAGAGCAAATGAATCTTTAGAACTTGTGCACTCAGATATATTCGGCCGAGTGAAGCAAGAATCGATAAGTGGCATGTGGTACATGATCACCTTTATTGATGATTACTTGAGATATGTCTGGGTTTATTTCCTAAAGGAAAAATCTGAATCACTCTCCAAATTCAAGCAATTCCGAGAAGAAGTTGAAGGAGAACTCGACAAGAAAATTCGTTGTCTACGTACAGACAACGGGGGAGAATACACATCGAAGGAGTTATGCAACTACCTTAAGCAGCACAAGATTTAGCGATAACTAACATGCCCAAATACTCCGCAGCAGAATGGCGTAGCCGAAAGAAAGAATCGTCATCTCGTCGAAATTTGTAGAAGCATGCTTCATGCCAAGAACATGCCAGGATGTTTTTAGGCTGAGTGTATAAAGACTGCGGTGCATGTGATCAATCGGCTACCACAACCAAAATTAGAGTTCATATCATCATTTCAGAAGTTATGGAATATTAACCCAACCGTAAGCCATTTCATAGTTTTCAGTTGCATATGTTATATCTTCGTGCCTGATCACCTTCGCAACAAGTTCGACAAAAAGGCTATAACTTATATATTTGTGGAGTATGACATTGAAAGAAAAGGATGGAGATACTGTGATCCCACAACCGGACGATGCTATACATTAAGGAATGTTATATTTGACGAAGCCTCATCTTGGTGGGCTTCACAAAAAGTTGCACTCCTAGACTCCAATGATCTAGAGGATCAGTTGCAGAAGAAGCCGGGGGAGTTAGGTCAAGAAGAAGGACTACAATAATTAGAGAAGATAGAACCAAGTTCTCCTATGTCTCCGAAGGAGAAGAATCTATGGAAAACTGTTGTTTATTAGATAATATCAGAAGAGGAACGCCCGAGCCAGATAGAGAATATCGAAGAAGAACCAACTGAACAACTTCAAAGATCAACCAGACTCAGGAAGCCGAATCCCAAGTATGCTAATGTGGACATTACGAAAGATGTGAAGGAGTCATCTACTTTCAAAGAAGCATACGAGAGTGAAGAATGGAGACAAGCAGTGAGAGAGGAAACCCAAACAGTGAAAAGGAAGTTAGAATTCTTGGACTTGTGGATAGAGAAGTCGCTGCTGAGGAAGAGTGTTAGTAATCAGCAACTATCCCTATCTACCAAGCCACCATCTTAATAGTGTCCACCCACCACCAAATAGTCTCTACTAATCCCTTCACTAACTAGTGTAAGAACTCTATATAAGGGCCAAAGATTAGTGTATGAAGTATCCCAAGAAAGATCCATTCCAAGTAGCAAAGAACATCCTAGTGGGGGGCGGGGGGTGGGGGTTTATAGTGTGTTTGTACCACTAAAGAAATAATAACAAAAATATTTCTTGGTGTTCACCACTCCTCTCAACTCAACATTACATGCCTGGAGCTCTTATTAAGCATGCTATTCTTTAGCTAATGCTCGTGTTGTATCTTGGAATTGGCTTTATTTAACACATATTTTGCAGGCTATACCTGTTAACCCAAAGCCTTTCCTGAATAACTTGACTGGGAAACCCGTGATTGTGAAACTTAAGTGGGGAATGGAGTACAAAGGTAGCACATCGAGTCTCTTTTAAATTTAATGAATATTCCCTTGTTGAGGACCGTTGACATTTTTATTTACTCTATCATTGCCTCTTTTGTTTTTCTCCTGCAGGTTATCTTGTCTCGGTGGATTCCTACATGAACTTGCAGGTGATTTTTTAACTCCATAGGCTATAAAAGTTGATAACATAGGGTAACCTAGGCATAGAAATAATGCCTCTCAATGGATTCCTTCACTTTATTTATGAGATCCATTTTTGCAGCTTGCCAACACCGAGGAATACATTGATGGGCAGTTTACAGGAAACCTCGGGGAAATTCTGATAAGGTAACTGTGCGTGATGCTTATTAAATTTGTTACTTCGTAAGGCAGAAATATTTGATCTCTTCATTTCATGCATAGAGAAAAGGACTTGCCATGATTTACCCAAGTTACAGAATGGGCTAATATGCCTTGTATCGCAGAACTAACTATGCCATGATCTAAATATGCACTAAATATGCACTGAAAATCTAGATCATCCTGAAAGAAACAAAAAGATAAACCTACGGTAGGCTATGAAAGAAGAAACACCAAGATAATGGTTTTTATGGCATATGATGTGATGATAAACATCAGAAGACTCTCAAGAGCCCTATCGGGAGAGCAAGCACCATTTTTTTGTTCTTAAAATTCAGAGGAGAAACAAACAGTTTAGTTGTGCCAAAATATTATTGTCATAGCACAATATTCTCCATTAAACTCTGTTTGAGGGCCACCCAACTTTAATTTTCTAAACGATATTCTCCTTGATGCATTGCTACCATCATGATGAAACTACGTACTTGTTTGTTCTCGCTGCTAATTGAAAATCCTTCACACTCTCCACTTTGTTAAATAGTTATTTCTCCCTTTTTCCAAATAGTTTTTTTTTCCTGTTCTAATCTAACTTCTATATCAAAACTTCAATAAATATTTTTTAATTTCTTTGACAAAAACTAGGCCATGATAACGAAACTGACTCGCTGGGGGCTTGCAAGTGGATAAAAAATTACCCAAAATAACATCAATGTTAAAAGTTAAGGATTTTAAATCATTAGTCTTGTGTCTCTTACCCTTTTCTCCTTTTTTTCTATGCAGATGCAACAATGTGCTGTACCTTCGAGGTGTGCCAGAGGATGAGGAAATTGAAGATGCAGATTGATGACAAACAATAGTCCATGTTCCCAGTCTGCGAGTTTCTTCTTCGTGAGAACTACCTACTTCCATTTGTTCTACCTTATTAGATGTTTAATAGTGGAAACATGTTCTTCTGTTGGAGATCAGTGATCAGTGAACCTGTTTTAGTGTTAAATGTATTATGATATTCCGATTATGCAAAGTTCTACCTTTTCCTGGTCAAATTTTGTTTTGATGGTATTGGCTTCATTGGACGCTTGGACTCTGCTGTTTGGACTTCGGTCTGTGACAGAAGACTGAGAAATCAAAAAACTTAATGCTGCTTGTGTTTAGCTGTGTAAGGAGAGGTGGGATTTTTTTTTTTTTTGGTTGTTTGGTAGAAGGATGTAGGTACTTACATACGGTTAATTTTTTTTGGCCTCGGGCCTGTGGTAGATAGCTCCATACTTGAAGTTATACACACTTCCAGTCCTGAAATTTGTACACGTATTTGTCATTTTAACGCCAGAATGAGATTTGGAAAAGTTGATATGAAATAAGGCTATCTAAGAACTAGAAAACCAATGATGAGGTATTTTGATTGTGGCACTGACAGTGTCCAATGTAACTCTGGGTTCTGCTCAGGTAAACGTATGCAAGTTTTCGAGCATCTGGTGTAGTGGTATCATAGTACCCTCCCACGGTACTGACCAGGGTTCGATTCCCTGGATGCGCAGCACTATTAGATTTTTGAAGCCTACTCTTTTCCAATTAAAATCACGTTCATCACTCTAATGTTGTCGGCCATGGTTTGCTACTTACTTCATCATTTTCGAATAATTAGAAGCCTAGGGATGTCAGGCATTTGTTTGCTCCATTTTTTAAAAAAAAAAAAATTATTAATTGACGTGATGACGTCAGATGCCTCATCCAAGCGCCAGACTACGGGCCGCCCCTGTTTCGCGTTATCTTCCGAAATTCTCAAACCATAACATACGAGGGGATTCCATTTATTAGTTAGCTAGAAACAACTTAGGAATCAGCTACATCGATCTTTCTCAAGTCACATATCAAGCCTACTAAGACAGGGAAATGTGTATTAAACAATTCTACCACAGTAGACCTCGACCTTTCCCAAGCAAACTAATCGAATAACATAAAACGAAAGAAAAAAAAAAGGTATTTCCCTTGGAACTTACCCCCATTGAATCCCCACCTAATAATAATAAAACATATATGCATTCTCCGGTCTAGACGTACAAAATCCTTTTGTTAGAATGTAGAAAAAGAATCACTACATGATATAATTGATGATATCACAACACCAGGGGAGAGAGCAGCACACTTTTCTTGCGCCGTCCCACCCACAATCTAGTTTGAGGCTCCGGAATATCCCCGACACGAGCTAATAAAACGAGATTTTGTTTGCTCCTTGCTTCTGCAATGATGTCATTTTCCCTTCGTGTTATAATTGCCACAGGGTGACTCTACCACACATCTCGCAAGTATCTCCCTTCCGTTTGCAGACTCTTCACCATGCTCTCCGCCTTTGTGCTATCCATTGATCCCTACAAGCACGAATTTACAAGAATATAAATTGTCACGTCTGCATTATGTCATAAACCCTTCCAAGTGTGAGTGTGACCAACGCAGAACACGTTACATCGTCAACGAGCCAGGTTCTTCAAATCCAGATGGTGCTAAGAAGAAAGTTAACTAGGTTTTTTGGATAGTCTTAAATGATATCTGTACGAAATGCAATTTGATATGTACAAGCTCGCGGTTTTTTGTTTTCACCCCTGTTTCATGTGGTCTTGCCAAGGTTCTAAATGAAATAAAGTCAACCAATCTAACTTGTGTTAAATGGGTAAGTCGGAATCTGAAATGGAACTACAAGGAAAAGAAATTGGGGAACTTGAAAAAAATGTGTACCTGCAAAAGAAGGTTGACAAAAAAGATCCTCTACTCTAAAAACTGATAAGTATGGATAGGGTTGAGCTCGGATTATAAATAATTAATAAATAAAAGAAACTCCGAAAGAGGCATATATGGATGGAGCTCGTCAAGAAAAACCTAAAAATTTGGATCCAGTACGGGCTGGTTGTGGACTGTAAGCCCATTAAGAAGGTTTTGAATTTGGGATGTCTAATAAAACCTTAATGACTCAGCGTTAAATAAATTTAGAGTTGGATCTAACAATATCAAGCTTAATAGTTAAAACCATACCGACAGCAAATATTTTTTTTTGAATTTGGAATATGTCTAATAAATCCTTAATGATTCAGCATTAAATAAATTTAGAGCTGGATCTAACAATATCAAGCTTAACAGTTAAAAACATACCGACAACAAATAATTTTATTTAGACTACTTGCTACTAGAAACAAGCACTTTTACAGAAGCTACTAAAATATTAAGTTTCCTAAAGCGACAACTGTGATGGTCCTGCAACATACCTGCTCTTGAGCAATCGTATGAAGAACTCTATGGACATCTCTAGCCATGCCTTTAGCATCACCACATACATAAATATATCCGCCCTTCGAGATGATATTCCAAAGGTCAGAAGCCTGAAAAACAATCATAATTTTTAAGTATAATAAAGAAAAAATAGTTCTTAATTATGAAGATAAACTTTACAAAAAAAAATACATAAGGAGCACAACCTTCTCAGTCATCTTATGCTGCACATATTCTTTACTTGGACCCTCACGAGAAAAGGCTACAATTAGCTCAGACAATGCTCCTGCCTCCAGGAAACTGTTTAACTCCTCCTCATAGATAAAATCCTGCAAGTTTTAACTCGCCTTAGAATTAACTCTCAAAAATCACAGACAGCTTTGGAAATGAATATATAATCTCGACTATATTTACTATCTTTATCTAAAATAATGTCATGTTAAAGATACCATTTTCCGGTTCCTGCAACCAAAGAAGAGAATAGCAGGGCCAAGTTCTGCCCCATCTTCCTTAAGGGCCAACCTTTCCTGAGAAATTTCACATAAACAAATTTTTTTTGTCAAATTACTAAACTCATAGAAAACTTAAATAGCAACAGGAAGCTTCAGTATATGAAACGGACCTGCAAGAAGCCCCGGAAGGGTGCTAACCCTGTGCCTGGGCCGATCATAACAATTGGGGTGGATGGATCTGAAGGGAGTTTGAAGTTTGACTGCCTCACAAATATAGGAGCCCAGCTGCAATCTTCACTTTCTTCCACAGGATTTGCGTACTGTGAGAAGGAAGTTGAAGAACAAGGTCAAGTGAGGCCTCTAGTGGAGGTTTAAAAAGGAAAAACGCTAACCACTAGCTTGACATGCTTAACTGAGGACTTAGTGAGTTAGTGATGTAAGATGACGAGAATAGTGAGCAAAATCTATTTAGATAACACTATAAAGTTCTTAGTAACACAATAGTAAACTTCCATTGGTTCGTGATATTTTATCTTAAAGTCCGGCACAAGCATCATCATTGACTGCATTTATTTATTACTTTGATATGCTAATTCTTCACAAAATAATATAAGAATCTTAGTTAGCTTTAGCAATTAAAAAGAAGAGCAAACTGGAACACTCAATTCATAGGAATAATCTTTGGATCTGGGTGGCTCTTTGTGTGTAAGCAGACATGTAGAGGTAAATCTCTGAACTGGATCTTTGGATAAATTAAAACGAAAATTTAAAGAAGCACAATTTTCAAGATATAGAACAAGACAAACCTTCATCCAGGTTGAGCAGACTCCTTTGTGAATCCTTCCTGTCGGTGTTGGTCCATAGACTAAAGAACATGTTACATGGATTCTAGTTGGTGCCATCCTGCAAAAAGAAGTCCCACCCATTCTTTAATGCTACAATGAATACACCTCATGCAAAGTGTGTGAAACTATTAATGTCCAAAAACCAAAACATCAACTGTTGCTCACCTTGGTGAAGATGATATTGAATAATATCTAGGCTGCAACCGGGGGGCTATTGCTGCAAAGAAAACTCCTAGTGGAGGCTTGGCTGAAGGGAACTCGGCCATAACCTCCAGGAGGCTCCTCTGACTTGCAACTATCCATTGAGAATATTCATCCTATGTCAAAGAAAAACAATGGAAAATGAGAAAATGATTTATGATAAAACTGAAAGCTTAGACAATTAGAGTCATCAATAACTGAACCTACCTTGCCAGCAGGAGACGCCAAAAATCTCAATCTTTCTGCTTCACTGGGATCAGAAGCATGTGCAGCTAAAGCAACTAAAGCAGCCTGAATAGGGGCAATTGATAGTATCAAATATACTGTTTTAGAAACAAATGTTTAAATTAGTTGTTCGAATCCAGATAGTTCTTGCCTTTTTAGGAAAATTCAGAAGATCAGCATATCGTGCAAGAGCAGTTCTTAGAGTACAGGGAGATGGGAAAGGAGGTGGGAGAGAACCACCGTTGCGGGGGGTTCCATCTTCATTATCAGCATGAATGGAGAAGAATGTATCCAATGACAGACCCAATAGCTTTTCAGCCTCCTCTACAGTCTCAATGCAATTCTCTGAATATACACCAACGTGGTCTCCTGTTTCATATCTGGTGGAAGAGTTGTTTTACCGTGAGCACAAGGAAATGTGCCAGCAATATCTAATTTAAGTTTGTAAAGCAACAACAGACATATAATAATGACGACATGACAGCAGCATAAACCATAAAAATAACCAACACAATCATAATTTAAGTTTTGTTTAGCTTTTATATTGATGAGCTTGTCAAAATAAAAATTTAAAAAAAAAACGAAAGAGAGAAAAAAAGAAGATATAAGACGAAAAACATGAAATGTAGGAAAGCCCTGTCCATTACATGTATAAAAATGATGTAACTCCCCGAGTATAACCTCTAATGAACTGCACAACATTGATCTACGAACCCCTACAGAGCACGAATTCATACAACTGCTTAAGATCATAAGATTGATTCAATGGTTGTTTTCACATGCTATAGCACCACTCTCATGTATGATGTATCTAAAGGCAAAATTGTTCAAAGACAAAAAACAAGTCATAAAGACTTTGAACATATCCGGCACTCGAACAATCAGATCATTGTCATGTTAAGTATACAATTGAATGAGTTGCATAAAATGAATAATGTGACATGGAATCAAAAGAGGAAAAAAGAAATAATGTGATATGGAATCAAGAAAGGAAAAAAGAAATACAAGTACTTACGCAAGACCAGTTCGAGCAATGTCAAACTCCAGATGAATGCAAGAACGATCAGAAGCTGGAGTGTGGAGCTCT